ACAACAGAAACAACCTCATCATCATCAACAACAACAACAGAAACAACAACATCGTCAACAACCACAACAACAACATCATCAACATCAACGACGACAACAACAATAAACCCATGTTAGTAAGAAAGTTTATTGCTCAGAGTCGGTGAACTATACAGTAAGGCGGTTGATTATGTTGCTGTGACATAATGATAGATGAAGCAGAATCGGCTTAAATTCCTGATATCAATCGGATTGAGTTTCGTATAAGAATAAACTACGAGAATAACGTCTATTGAGGTTGTTCAAGTTAGTTTTTTTTCCTATCGATAGAATTACTCGAAAGCTGTTGCGCTTTAGATAAGATCCATCTCATCAGATAGACCATTAAGTGACTATAAGAAGCATCAAATTATGTGACTCAATTCATTGATGTTGTACAGTCGTAGCGGTACTATAGAATGCTTTGTCGTTGTCATAGAATATCGTAGAAAAATCAAGCAAATGAGTTACGATCAGAAATTTGGATTCCAAATATCATTTGTAATTTTGGAGAATATATTAGAAAGTTTAACCAAAAAATGATTGTTTATTATAATGTGAATTGCCCAAAGAATGATGATATCTGCAAGAATATCTAGATAATCTAGTTTTTGTGTGAATTAAATAAGCGAATCATGAATTTTGATGGAAGTTTCCAAGACATCATTATGTCGGTAAAAGGTATTAATGGGAAAAGTTTCGGATAGAAACTAGTGTACTCAGTTTTCCTATAAATACCATGGTAATAATGAAAACATCAGTGTAATATTCATAACTTAGTTCGACGTCTAACGCACATTAGCCGTTTTTCTACTGCAATCAACATCGGACATGTGGCTGACATTCCACGGAACGATCTTATTCTTAAATTATATCTTATAGATTAGTGATACTATGAATCTATAGACTTTCTATTGATAAAAACAACGAATATTAATCGACATATGTTGCCTTGAACAGTTTTCTTGTGAGTCGTCATGTACAAAAATAAAGAATGAAATGAAAGAAGAATGTGTTTATTAGGAATTATTTCGAAAAGTGTCAGGCTTCATCAAATCAAACAAACTTATACAGTTCTCCAACTGATATAAAATAACTTGATATATATTTGTGTCCTTTTTTCAGGTACAATAAATAGCTATCGATGGAATACAACTGGTATTACTGTACTGGATATATCCTCTTTATACATTCCTAGTGATATATATTTTGATTCGAATGACACATTGTATATAGTCGATGAATCAAATCAAGTTATAGTCAAATTATTGAAAAACGCTTCAACTGCAACCCGTATAGCTGGACTTATGTTGTCAGGTGGTTCGAATGCTAGTCAATTTTCAACTCCTCAAGGTGTTTATGTTGATTCGAAAGGAAGTTTGTACGTAAGCGATTATTATAATAGTAGAGTACAAAAATTTGTGAATGGGTCAACACTTGGAATAACTATGTCAGGAATAAATAGCTCAGCTGGCGCGGCACTAAATCAATTTAATGGTCTTCGATATTTTGCAGTGGATGCAACAGAAACATATATGTATTTTACAGATTATAATAACCATCGCATTATGTCATATCAAATGAATTCAACAACAGGTACTAACGGACAACTTGTTGCTGGAGGTGCCGGAGCTGGAAATACGAATACACAATTGAATCTACCTTGGGGAATTTCCTATCTACCAACAATAAGTAATTATTTATATATAACCAACAATAATGGTCATTCAGTGATGCGATGGATACCAGGAGCATCGTCAGGTCAATTTATTGCCGGTACACCAGGTACATCAGGATCAAATGCTACAAGTTTGAATACTCCCATGGGTATTAGAGTTGATAGTTTTCTAAATATGTTCATTGTTGACTATGGAAATCATCGAGTACAAATGTTTTGTTATAATAGTACGATTGCCACAACAATAGCCGGCACTGGCACATCCGGTAATAGCGCAATACAATTAAATTATCCAAGAGGTATTGCATTCGATTCATCAATGAACTTGTACATTAGTGATGCAACAAATCGTCGTATTCAGAAATTTGTGAAACTCTAAAATTTATAAATAATACACAACATCACTCTATATGACGTTTTAGAAGAAGAAAAAACACGTTTTCGCTTTATTTTAATCTTGTATTTTATTTATTATTGATTGAATATTTTTTTAGTTCTATTCTTATCTATATATCTTTATTTTTATTTGTGTTTCAAAATCTTTTATGATAACAGAATAAAATGTAAAAAATAGACAAGATGATTTTATTTGAAGGTTAATTTTACTTTTCTCTTCAGTTGATCATCACCGTTTCGCTACAGAGAAAAAGAATTCAGTTTCTTTCGAATAAAACTAAATTTCGAAATAAATAAATGAATCAACGGAAAGCTTGTTTGTTTTTCTTTGAAGAATTCACTGCAATACTGAGTGAGTAGTGGACGATGAAATTTAATGTGTTTTCTCATCTAAATCGATGTATTTTTTGTATCTTCAAAATAGAAATAGAAAGACTTGAGAAAATAATAAACATCTACATTATTTCTCTGATCTGAACTCTATTGAACATAATATTCTTTTTGTAAATAAAATAACATGAAGGAACAATTCTAAAAACTTATTTTGTGTTTATTTTCATGATAACATGACAATTTTCATGATAACTGTTATTAAAATTGGTTTTTCGATTTCTATTGATTGAAGTTTTGACTAAACATTTTCTAATACAATCTGCACACAATGTATATGTGCTGCTTTGATGACTTCTACTATCAGTTAAACAATGAGATGAGATGAAGTGAAACCCTTTTTTTCAGAAAAGGAAACGAATCTCATATTTCTAAGTAAACTTTCATAGGTATGATTGAAAAAAGTATTGAGGTAACAAATTTCAACTAAATGTACAATTTATATATAAAAACAAGTCTAACATGATCGTGAGAGTGTGTGAATAGTTATATCATTACACACTCACATCCTATTTGTTGATCGAATTTGTTAAGAGACATTCTAATCTATTCAGCTACTTCAACGAATATCCTTCATAAACATGGAACTATTTCTCAAATTTATATTTGACATTTTGAAAAAAGGAATTAATGATTATTAATTATTAATTATCAATTGTTTTATTTAACAAATTATTACTATATACATATTAATATCAAAAAGACAATTCAAAATTTTTCTTCATAAAATCGAAATCGAAATGTAGCACAATGATTTCGAATGGCTTGGGCCATTGTATTGGGACCACAAAAGAATACATTAACATCATCAGCTGTTGAAGCATTTTCATCTGAAATAAGTTGAGTGAATATTTCTTCCCATTTTGGTCGTCCAATATGTGTTTTAGATTTTAAACTTGTAAATATATCTTGTCCAGAAACTTGTTTCCAAATTTGTGTAGCAAGATCTAATGGTACATTACCAATATTTTCATCATGTTTTATTTCTGTAAAATATAAATGTATATCAAGAAAACGATTATCATTTGGATTTGATGCTAAATAATAGTCTTGTTCTTGTTCAAATTGACGTAGAAGATTAAGAAACCATTCAAAATTTTTTTGATCACGATTTACCCAAATAAAATCAACTTTTTTTAAACGACGATTTTCTATAAGACCTTTAGTATTATAATTAATACTATTACAATGTTTACAAATAACACGTGATGCACGAAATTGTGCCATAAGACTTGATAATATTGATGAATACGGAGTGATTCCTATTCCACCACCAATTAAAACAACATGTTTACAATCAAATATATAACGTGCACAAGATGAATAAGGTCCATTGATAACAATGGGTTCTCGTTTCTTTGATTTTATACGTGTTTCTAATATATTATCTTCATTTCCTTCATTATCATCATTAGCATCTTGACAATGATCTGCTTGCATTGCTTGAAGATCAGCTACTGATTCTTCAGGACGAATATCAGCACGATAAACTTTAACGTGATTTTCTTGACTATCATCTTCAGATATTTCTTTAAAACGTTGATAAACTTGTTTAGTCCAATTACCAACTGCTTGAATATGTATACGAAGAAAAGTTGTATCTTCTGGTGCACTACTTATTGTAAATGGATGAAATTCATAAAGTGCCACACGTGGTAAATTAATACTTATATAATCACCAGGTTTAAACCTAAAATCAAATGAACAATAATTGTTTAGAATATCCAAATTCAGAGATTTTTGTCAGTAATTATTAAATATGCTAGTATATGATTTAGAGTTAATGTGATTAAACTAATAGTCCTTGTGACGAATCTATATTATAGAAATAATCTTACATGAAATTTTTTGGTCGATGAATATTCAAACTAACCACATTTGATTGTTCAATAGTCGCTGAATGAAGATAAGTTCGTCCACTTTTAACAGAATATCGTGTTAAAATTGAATAAAGCTTTTCAAGTAAAAATAATGATAATGGACCAATAATCCATTTCTAAAATTATCATTCAAGATATGCATATATATATATTAATAAAAAAATTTACCCAAAAATTTTCTGCATGAACAATAAGAAGCACAAAAAAAGGTAAATAAAGTAAATGTGTCCAATAAAATACCTAAATATAATGTTACACATATGTCAAATTACTCTAGATATTGTAAAAGAACCAACTTGGAAGACTTTTGTTGAGAAAAATTACCACTACAAAAATTAATGTTAGCGATATAACTTTAAAAAAGACATCGGTTTTCACTTTTTGCAGTTTAATATAAAAAAACTCATACTGAAGAATAACATTTTAGAAAACTAAATAGCACAGTATTTAGACAATTCAAAGAACCTTACATTATTGCTTTCATAATTGAATGAGGGGTATGAGCCTGAGATTCTACTCTCAAAATTGCAGATTTTCAAAAGAATTCATTCTAGAGAAATATGCTATATTATTACTTGAAAATGTCCACCACGTCGAATCCATTGCATTGAACAAATAAATATTGTAGCAAGCATAATAAATAAAATAATACCACTTATTGGTGCAAAACCACCAACCCATCCAACATCAGGTTTTGTAGTAAACTAAAAACAAAATAAAGTTATAATATTGAATATATATATATATATTTAAATAGATGTACCATAAAAGTTCCCCATGAATGATCTAAATAGTCAAAAAAATTTATATATATTTTCAAATCTCTATATTTACCTTCAAGTTTTCCAAAATTTATCATATGTGCAACTGTATGCAAAATTGCCAAAGCAGCAATAACACGCCCAACAACTTTATGAAAATCAATATGATCATCAACAGGTATTATTTTTCGTAAGAATGTATTTGTTCGAATAATTAATATTGTATGTTTTAACATAAGTACAATTACAAGTGCACAATTAAAATTTAATAATAATCCACCAATACGTGCAAAAATAACAAAAATATTAGATTTTGTTACAGTTGCACGATAAATAACAACATAAAGAAGTAACGCCAGATTAATTAATATATAAAGAAATAAAACAATTATACGTGAAAGATTATCTTTAATATAATCAATTGTTAATTTATTTTTTTGTATTTCATAAATTCTTTGTTGTTGACAACAATGAGAAAGAAAACGTTGAAATTTATTCTCTTGTTCACGAGAATCTGATGAGGTTTTAATGAACCATGTTGGATGAACTGTAAATTGTGATAAAGATTGAAGTAAAGTTGAATCTTTTGATACAATTGAATAAAATTCTTCAAAATCAATACGAGATTTCTAAATTAAAAACATAATGATTATCTATATGCTGCAAATTTCTACTCTTATACTACGGACGTAACCAGAATAAAGTTAGTCAAGGATTATCATTCTCAATATACTTACTTGATCAAGATGAAATTTTTGAAGAAGTACTTGAATAACTTCTTGTAATCGATTTTCATCAAATGTTTTTAAATGTTGTAGATATTTTTCATAAAACGATGCTAATTCATTATTTGTTACATAATAATCACTATTTTCATCTAACATCATAAAGAATACAAGTGCACGTACATCCATTGTACTATTTAAAATACGTGTTAATTTTTGTACTTCAATTTTATTTAATGTTTTTATAACTTCATCATCATCTGTTGATGAATAAAGTACATTTACAAGACGTTCAATAATAAATGGTTGAGTATTAAGTAATTTTGATACTTCTTCTAATGATAAATTATTATGAGTTAATTGATCACTAGCACGACGTATAAATGTGGGCAATGATTCTTCAGGTTCATCGAGTAAACCTTGTAATTGTATTTCAGCTCGTTGACGATTGGTTATTGTTCGTTGTAATAAACTTTAATTTAGCAAAAAATATACGGTTTTTATTAAGTGAAATAAATTCTATGAGTTTAAACAAACTTATTAAGAAAATGACCACCACTTCCTGATGTTGTTCGTAAGAAAGATGAAAAAGCTGGTGTTGAATGATGACTTATTTTACGTCGTAAAGGTCGTGATTGTTGTTGAGATGTTTCCGTTGTAAAAAGTACAGCTGGTTGCGAGGATTCAACCATCGCAAGAGTAGTATGTGGCATAGTAGAACTAAATAATATTGTTTTTATACAATTCTAATAGATATTTTTCTTACCCTTCAGCCATAATATTATACGTAGAATAAATAATTTATGTTTATGAGAGCTATATTTAAATGAAAAGGAAATTGTATGTGATAATAATATTGAATAAGATACGGTTTATTGTCATCCGATAAATAGATAATAGGTAAACTAAATTTATATATCCTTGAAAATGAAGCGTAACGGTGAGAACAACGGTGAAGAATGTACTTAACGGCCGATAATAAGTGTAACATACGATTTTATTTTGAAAAGAGAAAAAAGATATCATCCCTCAAGCTAAATAATGATCATTATCATATGAATGATCCTATAATGTATCGATAATCGTATCAATACATTGACACAAAATAAATTTGCAAAGTGATGTTGTATATCCATTACTTTTCATATCGATTATTATATCAGATAATAACCATTTATATTATTTTCGATTGATACAAGAATTAAATTATTATTCATTGAAGCGCAT